TGGGTTGCTGAAGGAATCTGTCTATCTTGCTATCAGCCAGGACAGTGATAGCAAGGTGCTGCAGGTATCAGGGCAGCGCAGGACCCCGTAGGAGCAAGAGAGTTCTGCCAGCCATGAGTCCTGCTTGCCAGGATCCTGCACTTGGGGTGTGCATTAGTACCTGTTCATTGTGCTCTGAACAGAATCCAGCTTTTCCTTGGGTGCCATACACTTGATACCTGCTCCCTCTGTGTGCAGAAGGGTGCTCAGAACATCTCCAGGCTTGGCTTCCTCCACATGCCCTCATTCTGCTGGATGGCTGTTCGAACACAAGTTTCCTGGTCTAATAGTGGTGTAGCGGCTGCACGTACAAATGGAGTCCTTGGTGCTGCACTTTTGTTGCTCAGCACATGCATCAGTCAGGTTGCACTTGAGGGTAAGTGTGTGTTTTGTTTATTCAGAGCTAGATTTTCAGCAGGTGGGGTGTTGAGTAAGCAGGAAATTGGATACTTTGGTGTAGAGATGTTGTATGGTGGAAAGTCTGGAAAGGCACTTTGGCTTTCATGCTAGCATGCACATCTTCTTCTGGCATGCCACAGGATGTAGGCAGTGGCAGTCTGTCTTTCCATCAGGTATGATCTTGGAAAACATCCTCAGCAGTGGCCCGTTTGTGATGGCTTGATCCTGGACAGTCCTTGGGACTGCTCACAGCTGTCTGTGACAGTTCCAAAAGGCAGTGCTACCTCCCAAGTGCTGTGGCTTCCAAATGTTGTGTTCCTTCATCTCTGCTTATGTGGATGAATTTATGTCATGCAGAGGTGCTGGGCAGCACACCCTGGCCGAGGCTCTGCACTGCCAAGGCTCCAGCTCAGATGCCCTGCAAGCACTGTGGCTAAGCCAGGCTGAGAGTAGTAGTTTGTGTGTGCCTTTGGGTTCATATCCCTGTGACCCTGTTATCCCTGTTACCACTCTAGAGCTTTATTCCTTTTTCTTCATGTGTTGACCTCTTCTCCCAGACTTGGCAAGCATGCTTCTGCAATGCCTGTTAAAAGTTCTTCTCAAGCCCTGGAGATCTTGTCCCTTTACAGGCTGACTAGTCAGAGCCACTGTGGCTTCTCTGTGCCTTTCCTCTCAGCTCATTTTCAGTGCCCCTTTTTCTCTGAACATCATATTGAGAGGATTTTCTCCCGTTTCTGAGCGAAAACAAGTGAACCACTCTGCAGGACGTGTGCTGGATGGAGTTGTGTGTGTACAAGAGAGATAGAAGTTCGCTCCTCACAGGGAACTGTGGTTGCTTTCACAGAGTGCTTGTGGTACTGGTACATGGCTGGAGTACTGTGCATGTCCACAGAATAGTAGAATGTTAGTGAGCCTCAGCCTTTGAATTGGGAAAATCAGTTCTCCAGCTGCAGAGAAGACTTTGGCCACTCATATGGGAAGGCTGGTAGAAGAGGGAGAGCACATGGTCAGTCTTGGATTGGTGTTGGCTCAGTTGTGGAATTTCTGATAATGTTCTTGGCTTCTGCACGGATACTGCATCTCCTGGAGGAGCCCAGGCAAGAGCAAAAGGAAATAATGGCACGATGTGGACTCAGTCTGGTGTAGGGATGGCTTGTGCTTTCAGAACAATAAAAATGAATCCAAGGGAGGAGGATAGTAATCTGATGTGCCTCAAATTGTGTAACTGAAAACGTCATTGCTAGCAGCAGATGCTGTGTAGAGGCTGTGCTACAGTGACTTGGGCTGCTCATGGAGAGGGACAAAGCACAGCTTTCAGTACAGCTCTGCTCGTCTCTTGCAATGCGACAAGACAGCTCCTAGTGTGTGATCAGCCTGCCAGCATGTGCCGTGTTGGTGTGCTCACTGCACGTGTGTGGTGCCTGGCACCAGGGGCTTGCTGAGGAGGTTGTGCCATGACCTCATGGAGGACTTGTCCTTGGCTGCTGAAAGTGCTTGATGCTTGTCTGGTGCAGGGGTGTTGTGGGCTGGCAGCACAGGAGTGGGGCATGCATTAGTTAAAAGGTGTAAAAAGGCATAAAAACTTGAGCATGGAGATGGAAAACTCCCCACTTGTGACCGTGGTGATAAACCTGCAGCACTTGCATGATGTTTTAGTGAGAACATGTTGATCTCTGTATGAAAACCATAAGCTTATTTAGAAAATTGGGCTGTCTCATTTGAGATTAGAGTTTCTCTTTAATCTGCAAATTTTTAATTGGTATGGAAATAGCTTGTTAAGTGGGGTTCTCTGTGCACATATATCTGCACACGAGTGCGGTGGTGCTCCTCAGCAGGTGGTTTGCTTCCCTTTAGGAGGATGGACAAGTTCCTGGCTCTGAGGCCAGGCAGGATGCTCTGGATGCAGCAGGCAAAAGCAGACCACAGCATCAGGCAGACATGATTGTGTCCCTTTCCTCCTGTCCAGCTTGTCCCCTAGGGGAGATGATGGGAAGAGATGCTTGCTCCACAGGATTATCACTGAATCACAGAATATTCTGATTGGAAGGAGCCCACAAGGATCATTGATTGAGTCCAGCCCTTAAATGAATGGGCCATATGGGGATTGGACCCACAGCCTTGGCATTATAAACACGGTGCTTCAACCAACTGAGCGTTATGAATAGTAAAGTGTGTTAATTGCCACAGGTTCCCTCCCTGGTGTCTGGGGTCACAGCTGGCCACAGTTACTCTGGCTCCTGCCAGCACAGTTTAAAGGAGCCTTCCACACACTGGAATGGCATGTCATCCTGGGAGCTGGAGCAGAGCAGAAGAAGAAGCAGGCTGGCAAGTGTAGTCACAGTGCTGAAGCAAAAAAGAAAAACAAAACAAAAAAACCAAACCAAAACAAAAAACCCCAAACAAACAAAACCAAAAAAACTAACCCTAAAGAAACAGCAGGGTTTTGGTTAGAGACACCAGCTGCATGGTCAGTCCAACAGCCTGTGTGGAAAAGGGAAGAACTACCACTTGCCTTGCCCCCAGCTGCCTCTGGAAACGCCAACCTGGCTCTCATTCATGGTGATAGTCCCAGAGCCAGGGAGGATGGGCCTGGGGCAGGGACAAAACAGATTAAAAACTCCAAAAATTACATAGGATAATAAACCATCCCCAAGACACTTAGTCATGAGAAAGAAGTCCTGTGTCATCCTGTTCACAGATGTCATGAAACTCCTCCCTGCTCATGTCATGCATTTACTTGCTCCCACCTAGCTTGACTTAGATGTGGGCCAGGATGACCTGGCCTGTGCCATGTGGCCAGGATCAGAGTTAGCAGCCTTTGCTTTTTCTTTTCAGTATTGGTGGCATGAGCCATGGACCAGCATCAGAATGCAGACATCATGTCATGCTGGCCTGAGCACTGTTCATGTGTAGGACCTGTTGGGTGTTCCTTCTGGGAAGGGAGAGATGGTGGGGATATGGGGTGGGGGGTTACTGGGGGTGGCCTGTTGGCAGGCAGCAGTGCAAGCTGTGCCTTTGTGCCAGTGAGTCTGACAGCTCATGCCTCATGGAGTGGGGTTTGCATGGTACTGGAGGGAAAAGAGAGGCAGGTGTTTGTGGGATTTCTGTCTTAGAACACTTGTCAAATACTTTTGAGCTCTTTGGCACCTGTTGCTGGTACTGTGGAGCAGACAACTGCTGAGGGCTGGCTGCTCAAAAAGCATCTACTGCTGACAGCTCTGTTGAGACTGTGTGGCTGGAGCTGCAGTGGGGAGGGCACAGACCATGACCTCACCGTGTCCCCTTGACTGTCACAGCATGTTTATCTTGGGGAGCTGCAGCAATGCCCCATCCACCCAGGATCGGCGCTGTTCCCAATGTTGACCCTTCTTATGGCAGGGCTGCTCCTGGCCTTCCTGTCACCACAGCACTGGTGAGAGGGAAGCAGTGAGACCAGCTTTCTCCTGCATCTGGCAGTGTCCAAGCTATGCCCAGTCCCCAGACAAATCAGGCCTAGGCAGGTGCGTATCAGCTCACCATCTGGCCTGGTCCTAAGAGGGCATGAAACCCAGGAGGGGGTGCTGGGCACTTCCTCTGCATTTGGGTTTAGCTACTCTGGCAGTGCCTGAGAGCTATGGCTGACACCAGCTAAAAAGTTCTTCTGGCCAAGCTGGGCCACAGCCACTGTTGCAGGGAACCTGAGGGGACACTGTTTGCCCTAGAGAGCTGTCATGGTGCTGCGTTGTCACAGACCCCTCATTGGTCCACTGGAGGGGGACAGCGTGGGGACCTGGTCACACTTGGCACTAAGATGCTGCTAAGAGCTGGACTTGCAACTGCAGCCCCTCTGATCAAGCCTGGTGTGGGGGACTTGCTTGGAAATGACCCCTCCCTCAGTCCATCCTCCCCATGGGCTGCAAGGTGGGTGCCCCTCATGCAGGGCCATCCCTGCTGCGGGGACACAGGCCTGGGGACACAGCCAGCCTGGCCCCAGCACTGCACCTGGGGCTGCTTGTGGGGAGACATGGCTCTTCTCCTCCTTGCTTGTCCCATCTTCATCCCCATAGCAGCTCTTCCGTGATCACGGTCATAGGGCTTGCAGCCCGTATCAAGTTCCTGCATCCTCTCCAGTCTATTTCTGCTGTCGTTGCTGCTTGGCAGAGGTTGATTTGTTTACTTCCCTCTGCTGCTGCAGGGCTGGCAGAGTCTCTCAGCAGGGCCTGGGCTATACGTGGGGCTCTGAGGAGTTGGAGTGTGTTCTGTGCAAGCCCCAGACATGCTGCTTCTTGCTGAGACTGTGGCTGTCATGTTGGTCTTGGCCAGTGGCAACTGGCTTGGCCAGTTGGTCTTGGCCAGCGTTTCAGGCAACGCTGAGCTGTGGTCCTATCTGTGGTTGGGCTCTTGCCGTGGCTCAGCAGAACAGATGTCCCCAAGCTTGTCCCTGAGAGTTTCATTCTGGCAGCATTGTTCCTCTGAGCAGCTCTGGGGTCAGCTCAGCCTCCCAGAGGGGTGAATGGAAGGATGGAATGTCTCAGACTCAGCAGTCTCATCATTGTGAATTTTTTTTGTGTTGTGTCTTGCAGAAATAACATTCATCCCAGATTTGATGATAATGAAAATACAGAAAAAAGAAAAGCAGGTTTGTGACCCTCTCTCCTTCTCCCAATTCAGCTGTCAAGGTCTGAGGACCATGTCTCATGTGGAAATTGTTGCAACTGATGTGTGGTGGGAAGGAGGCTGGGAGAGTGTTATATTGAATTTCCAGACAGGGGTGCAGCTCAGTTCCTTGAAATTTGACCTGAGCTGCACCCCAGAGTGGGTAAGCCTGATGGGCCCATTGAACCAGGTGGGATTTATCTTTAGTAGTGGAAATGCTCTTGACTCGGTGCTCTCCCCAGTGGAAGAACAGCCCTTTATTTTGTCTCAAAGCCCATAGTATTGGTTCTTGCTGTAATATCATTACAAAACCGCATGTTTGCTGTGATTGTTGTTATTAACATGATACACAAAGACTAATACCAGCTAGGAGGTTTGGGAAGGTCAAATCTGGGCTTGGACAGAGAAGAATTTTCTTCCTTTACTCAGAAAAGATCGCATCTCACAAAGCTGTCATTTCTGGATTGCTGCATTGGATCATAACAACCTGCTGCTCCCAGAGGAGATTTATGAGCCAGTGGTCTCTGTATTAGCTGTGTGCAGGGGAAGAATCTGACCATTGGCACTCTGCTGAGGGGAAAGGACCTGTTACATGCATGGAGTATTGCTCTGCCTGTGGGGCTGAAATATGGCTGGAGATATAAAACAAACTGGTCTGCCTGGAGCTAATTTGTGTCCATGCTGCTTTTAATGGGAAACCATTAAAGTGAACACTGAGCTAAGGGATAAATCTGTTTGAGAGCACAAGCCTGTGCCATTTCTAACCAGCTCTGAAGCAGTGTGTGCTGCTCAGGGCACTCCAAATCACACTGCCATGACAGGTTGATGGGAGGAGGAAGGGAGGGAAATGTTTCAAAGAGGTCACTGTGCTGTTCTGGGTTTGCAGCAAGGCAAATGCTGCAGATGTTGGAATGTGTGTGTTCAGAGCACCAGTACTGTACTGTACTGTACTGTACCAGTACTGTAGGAAGTCATGAGCCTTGCAGCCCTGGGCTGTTCCCCACTGCTGTCCACACACTGCAGGGAATCCAGCCATTCTTGCCACTTCCAAGCCCAGGCTGGAAAGTCAGAAGATCCCTCCAGGAGAAGGCTAAGGCATCACAGGGCTTTCCATCTCTGTCTCCAATGCAATTCTGCTCTGTTCTCACAGTCCCGGCAGGATGGGAGTACTTCCATGGCTGTAGAATAAGGAGATTTACAGGAACTGTGGGATTAACTGCATTTATTTTAGTTCATTATTTCTCTGGTTATTTAAAAAGTCAGAGTTTGGCAGAAATAAGGAGTAGAAGACCCTTCAGTGCCCAGGGACAAGCAGGACACAGACAGAGAGGCAGGCCAGGGAATGATGGTGCTCAGCCCTCAAAGGAGATCCATCACTTGTCACTGGTCTCGGGGGTAACCAGGCACTCCTGTCCCACCTCCACCAGCAGACAAGGCACCCTGGCATGAAAACTTGTAAGTCATGAGACAAGTGACAGGTTTCACGAGTTAGTCACAGCTTGGTGACAAATGTACCAGATTTTTGTGCATTACTAAGGAAGAAGAGTTGTGGAAACACAGCCCCTGCCTTTGCTAACAACAGTCCCTCAGATGAGTGAACCAGTTGGAAGTGCCCTGTACCCCAATCCATCATAATTTGCACAGGAAGAGAGGCAGTGCTGCAGGGGGCACAGAGGGAACACAGAGAGCTCCTCCCCAGACAGCCCACTTTGAGACCCCATCTCTCCAGCCCAGGTTTCCTAATCCACTGGCAGTGGATTAGGCAGGACAAAGCACTTGGGATAGCCAAGGACTAGAGAAAGAAGACAGCACATCCAATACTTTTCCCCAAAGGCAGTTGACAGCTCCCCTGCCATCTTCACCAATATGAAGGGCACCAGCATTTTGTCAACCTTTTCATCCTTGGGCCTGATCCTACACCCACATGATGACCAACATGGAACTTCTGCAGGTCAGAGGTTGACAGCGAAACACAGGACTTTTGAGAGCCTTGGAACCACATAAGCATCTCATCTTCTCCAGAGAGACTGTTCAATGGGAGGCAATAGCCCCCCTTGGTGCCATAAGAAGTCTGTTTACAAGGTGTGGGCGCTCCTGGGCTCAGGTGTCCAGAGTGATGTGGAATGCCACCCCTTGCTCATTTTGTCCCCAGTGCTGCTCATCTGAGCATTACAGGGAGCCACCCACCCCTTCACCACCTCAACCAGGCACCCAGAATCCCCACAGGAGCCCTGCTTGGCCAGGCTTTCTTCCAAACACTGCATTTGGAAATGCTGCACCCCACCCCATGACATGCTGCAAGGTTTGTCCTACATTGCTGCAGGCTCAGGAGATAAGCAGCTGGAACTACCCCTCCTTGCTCACACCACATGCCTTTATCTCCCTCCTAGATTTTATCTGCAGCAACAGCTATAGAAAATAATTTGTCAGCTGAGCCCTCTAAAGTCTCCAAATGGTGGGGGAGGATGGTTTTGCTGTGCTTAAACCCCATGTCATTTCAGTAATCCTATTTCCAGAGCACTCAAACCTGCTGTATTAGCCCAATGAGTGGCACCAATTTCTTACCTGGGCTTTGCTGTCAGAGGAGGGAGATCACAGCCCCACACCACAAAGGACCAAGCTCTCCTCCAGGCCTTTGCCCTGCCCCATCAGGAGCAATCCAGCCATGCTGGTACACAAGACCTTCCATGATCCCTTCTTCCTCCTCACCTTGAGGCTGGCTCTGCTTCTTTACAGCATCTTTACAGCCTTTGCAAGAGGGAGGCCCCTGGGAGCATCAGGGGGAGCTATGCTTGCCTTTGCTTCAAGCACTCACTGCATAAAATGAAGGATTTTCCTGAATTTTATGGGTCTATTTATGTGAAAGTGAGCTTTGCTGTCTCACGTACTGCAAATGCAGTTGGGGTTTTTTGCCAGAGCTCCCTGAGGCTGGAGCAGGCTCCTGAGCAGTGGGAGGACAGGGGGTGGGGCTGTCCAAGCCTGAGAGCACTTGTAGCTCTGTCCCAAGCTGTCTGTGGCCTTTTTTTTTGTCATGCTGATACTGTCAGTTCTGATGAGCCCCAGTGCTGGGTGTGTTGAGGAGTTTCAGGCACTTGCTCTGTAAGGGTGAAGGGCAGGGGGAGCAGTGAGCTGCCAGGGTGCCCTTCTCCTGCACAGACAGCCACGAGTGCTGGATCTCCCCCAGGCTCCATGGGCTGCACAGGTTTTCCTCACTGCTAGAGAGAACTGAGGTGGGAGGACAGCCTGGACAGCCCAGGGCAGCAGCATTGCCCTTTGCCCCACCCATTCCCTCTGCTAGGGTGGTGGGAACATGTGTGCTTGCTGCCAGGGCTGGCACTTCATGGAGGTTGCATCATGGTGGAGCATCTTTGGAACAGAGCCAGGCCCCACCTCCGTCATGCACATCCCATGGTGACTGCAGAGCCTGCTCGGAGACATGATAGAAGGTGACACTTGTATATTTTTAGCTTCTTGCTGCACTGGTTTAAGAGCTGGAAACAAGGGGTGCACACACTGGGCAACCAGAGCACAATAGCCATGCTGTGCACACCAGTGGTGGATATGGGGCTGCTGGAGTGTTTGGCTCACCAGCCTGCCAAAACCTCTGTGTGAAAGAAGCTGCCTGTTCTGCTCCTGTTGGGCTCTGCAGCCAGCTATGTGGATAGACTGGGCTGATGATGGCCAGCCTGGCCATCTCAGGGAGGCAGAGCTGTGTCGTGGTGCCCATCCTGGGCTGCTGTCGCTGTTGTGGAGTTTCTGGGCAGCCCCCTGTCATCAGTCTCTGCCTAAAGAGCATGGAAACCTTTGATGACCCTTGCAGTCAGGGTCCCTGTGTACACTCCACTTACAGAACACATTGCTGTGGGGTATGATGCATGTCCTAGACCCAAATGCCGGCTTCTGCAGAGCTCTCCTGGTGCACTGCAGGAAAACTTGACCGAGCCTGCCAAGCCTTGCACTTGGGTTCAAGGTTTCATGTGGCATGGCCACTGCTGCTGGCTGTGGTCACGCTGCCTGGCGAGGCTGGGTTGTGTGGATGTTGTCTGAGCCTGCTTGCCCGGGGAGGTGGATCTGGTTTTGGTGTTGTGACCACTGAAAGGACCCATCTGTGGCCTTACTGGCGCTGCCATTCAGATCCTGAGGCTGTGGCAGAGCTTTGCCCTGTTGGGAACACTGCTCTTCGAGAGGAAAGCCTGCAGGATGGATTATGGGGTGGGCATGAAGCTTCTGGTCTTTTCTCCTTCCTACACCCGAACTCATGGAGAGTGCAGGGTTTGGATATGGATCAGGCTCCAACACCCAGCAGTGCAGCTGCAACATGTCCTTCATCCCCATCACATCTCCTGGCAGCGCTGGCATGTGACTTCTACCATGTGGGTCCAGAGGAGCTTCTCTGCTCCTGCCTCTCACAGTTACTATTATTGCTCTTTTATTATCATTATCATTATTATTACTGCTGCTGCTTCTGCTGCTGAAAGTGCATAAGCTCTGTAAATCAGTGCTACCTTTATGGAGAAGCAGATGTTGTTTCTTCCCCTCCCCACCTTCTCTTTGCAGTTTCCTCTTCTCCGCTGTTGTTCCCTTTGCAGGTACGTGGAGCAGGCAGGTGAGGCTGCAGGTTTTGTCCCTGGCTCACGACAGACACTCCCACTGGCCTTGCCCTGAGCAGGTGTGGGGAAAACACTGCTGAATTTCACTGCTCCTCAGCTTCTGTGCATGTGCCAAGGGGCGTTTGTAAACTGTCCCTTCATCCATGTGAACCCAGCCCTGCTGGAGGGCTTGCAGAGGGTCGGGGGTGCGGTGTGAGCCTTGTGGGCTGGAGCTGCCAGTGCATCCTCCAGCCAGTTTGGGAGAGGGGAGGGAGCCCTTTGAGTAACAGGAGCTGCTTTATCTCCCACCTCTTGGTGGTGTTTTCCTCCAAATCCTGAACAAAGACTTGGCATTCAAATTGAGACTATAAATGAAACAAAACAATTTATATTA